CCTTGGGCAACTCTAGCGACGACTCCGACACGATAACCACGGGTGATGGCGACCTATATGGCTTCCGTTGAAGCGCTGTCGACGATTTTGATCGAGACAGTGTTGTTCCCTCTTCGAGTCGTGTCGCAGTTCTTGAAACAGGCGCAGATCTGGGGCTGTTTACAAAAGAAACTCGCTTACTTGGAGAGCCGTCTTGGACAGTAATTTTCTCAGGGCTGGAACTCGCGGAAATTTGAACCGAAAAGGCCGGGAATTCCTCATTTTCAACGAGATTTTCTTCGGCTTCTTCGGGAGTTACGCTTACACTACTTTCGACAATCGTGTCTTTTTCTTCGCTGGTTTGATTATCCGTGTTCGTATAGTTCCCGCTCTCTGGTGTATCTCCTTGGGAAGTCGGGATTTTGATGGAAACACAATTGGAAAATCTGGAATCTACGTGGACTCTCGGAGTGGAGGGTGGAGCGGGCGGTGCTGTATGAGGTCGTCGCAGCTTTCGTACATCCTGCACCATTTCGTCTTCATTTGTAAGAGATCTTTCTCGACTTGTCTTCGGGCGAATTTGCCGAATATTGTCAAAACCAACTTTTTTAGTATAACCAATAACAGGTACAGCGTCTTCAAACTTTCTCGAGTCCTTCAATTTCTCTCTGTGTTTGTCGTCGGTGATACGAACAGCCTTCTCTGTAGTCGCTACTGCACCTTCGAAGCTAACTCTCTTCGGAGCCTTCTCCTCGACATTCTGCGTATGTTCTTTCGCGTTAATATTTACTACGCCATGTTGAGTTCGAAGTTTACTGTCAGCACCATCTTGTTCAGATCTCGTATCCTCGACTTCTACGGCAGTAATATATTTATCACTCGTAGATACAGGGTTCCGTCTATCTGGATAAACCCAGCGAGTCTCTAAACTAAGTTTGTACGCGGGTGAATGGAGTTTGTCCTCGTTTCGATTAGAATCGTTTTTCTGCTCCGATTTCTTCTCGTGGAAAATAACTGGATGCGTTTCACACAAGCCCTGCAAACAAACAAACACAAAACTATTACCAAGTGAACTTTACTTGCAGTAATAAACAAATAAGCGAATTTATCAACTCTGAACCTATAAAATAAACAAGATACTACTATACACGCGCTCTGATTGGCTCAAAACCATTTACCAAAACTCTATGGAAACATAGAAAATTGCTTCATGCTTTTATTTCATAAAACAATAGAAAACGTTTTCCGTGTTTCCATAGAGTCATGGTAACACGAGTGAAGTTTGGGAGAACTAAAAATTGCTGTGGAAACACTAGCCTGCAGCTCGTGCTTCCACAGCATTTCTCGTTCTCCCAAACTTCACTCGTGTTACCATAACTCTACCTCTATGGAAACACGGAAAACATTTTCTATTTGGTATTTTTACAATAACTGTCAAATTTCTCGTGCACTCATTGGTCAAGAGCTATGGTCGACGAGAGTGTAGACCATGAAAAATGTCGCCGATTTATTGAAACGTACAAGAGTAGGAAGATCCCTAAAAAAGTACGAGAGTTCTTAGTATAACTCCCGCGTAAACTTTCTCAAAATTTCGCCAAGAAACCGCGTTAATTGAAAGTTGTTAATCAAGTTTTATAAGGTTAAATTTATTACACGTTTACGTTTTCTGTTTTTTTTTAAGCTGACATGGCCTAGCGTTAGTTAGCACTGCGGTAGATGAAGTTTACTTTGCGAATCAAAAAAGCGTGAACACTTTGATTTAACTTTGAAATGATCAAATCGCAAGAAGAATAGTCAGAAACTCAAATGTACACTTTGTTTTTGCAGAAAAGCTTTGCGAAAATAGCAATAACAAAAATACAGGGGAAAAATGGATTAATTTTTGGAAAAGGGGGGCCTGATTACATGAGCCGGGCTGGCCCGGTTAGCCGGGCTGGTATTAGCATAAATGATTCTAGCACAAAGAATGTGTCGGATGATCTCAATCACCTTTCTCCAGCAATTTGGTGCTTTATTTTCTTCACTTATGCAGCTGCATGGGCTGCTTTACCTCTACATCTTATCTAGAAAGAAAAATATTGATTTTTTTGTTTGGATAGTGTGCTTAGGCTCGATTTCCGCCGATCTCTCGAGTCCGGTCTTCGTTTCATTGTGTGTGCTCGGAAGAGAATTTAATGCTGGCCTGGTTAGGCGGGCCGATTACATGGAAAATGTTCAGCCCAGTTAGCCAGGATCCGGCTAACCGGGCTGGCCCGGTTGTCGTGTAATCGCAAAGTTGATTTTTGTTGCGTTTAACAGACGTGCCGAGATCTCGGCAAAACTGTTGCTCATGTATATTAGGCCCTTCTGTGCGATTCAGAAAAGCGTGAACACAAATGCACGTGCGTTTATACCATTTGGTGGGGTTTTTTTATTGGCTGAGAAGTTTGGAAACCAACAGCAAAAAAAGTATTTTTATTACTACTTGGTCGGTTTAGGAAAACTGTTCCAAAAAGTAATTTACAAAATATATTTGTCGATGTCTTCAAACGGATCTTCGGGAGGAAGTTGTTAAAGGATATTAAATTTCGCGTTTTCAGTTTTCGCGGCATCTTTTTATCGCGGGTATTTAATTTTGTGATTTTTTTCAATCAAAATCGCGATAATTAGTACTTGCGAAAATAAGTCAGTGAGAATAGGGTATCTTAACACCCTGGGGGGGGGGGGGGGGGGGGGGGAGGGCTCCCATATAAAAGTGACGTGGGTGATCGTAGGAAATTTTGAAAAGAACCCCTAAGATACCAAAATCTCATTTTGTGGGCGTGGCCTAGTTCTTGCCCTAAAAGGTACCGGAATAACTCTAAATTTTAACGGTAGTCATTTTAGATTTTAACACCCTAAGCGGTACCAAACCACAAATTTTAACCCCTAAAAGGTACGACAATCACTCCCGTCACTTTTATATGGAAGTCCTCCCCCCCCCCCCCCCTCGGTCTTAACATTTTAGCAACTTTAAAATGTCCTTAAAAATGAGTTAAGGTGTGCAAGGCATCTAATGTTGTTACTTCTCTGAAAGAGAATTTAGTAAAAATAGGTCAGGTTTTTTTTTCAGTTTAGAATCTTACAATGATTAATTTATGATAATGTTACTAAGTTTATAAAATTAATTGAATGTTTACCTTTCAAACTTTTAAGATGAGTTAACGAGTCAACTTTAATCTGATGCCGTGCCTTCATTGGTTGAAGCAGTTCTGTCTGCAAAGACCTGACTTGACTCAGAATTGAAGATTAATTAAATTTAAATTTAAACACAATAATTTATTATAAATGCTCGTTTTAGTGATTTATATTTTATTGTTCTCCAGAAGGTATAACCCTGTCCAGACCCAGTTGTTTACACCTCTTATTTAGAAATTAACCTGTTAAAGAAATAATAGAAAGGTAAAGCCATTCGGATTCAAACTGACCAACTTATCCCGGTTTCCGTAGCATAAAGCCGACTAGGAGTATTGCTACTCCCCCTGGGTGGGATTCCTGGTGGAGAGAGGCACTGTGAGAGTAAAGTGTCGGACGGAGCTCGAACCCGAACCACTTGATCCGGAGTCCAGCTCACTAATCATTAGACCATCTCATTCCCCACACTAGAAAGAGTATTCAAAGTTTAGTTATCGTGTCAAGTTTGAAAGGAAACGGCTTGAAATCTGCTTCAAATGAAGCATTCAAAAGTTGAACCATTTATGGCTGTACGTGTGGCAACTCTTGCCTACTGTTGAGACATTTGATGCTGATTATATTCCTGTGGCTTTGACAGTTGGTAGCAAGTTTACAGGAATCTTACCTTAGATGACGAATCTCCATCAGTCTGCAGTCCTGATGAAACGACACATGCCTGTTAAAACATAACAATGTCATGAATGAGCAAATTAGGTTCTTGCAGTGACAGTCACAACTCACAAGACATGCATGTACCTGAAGCATTTTCAGAATCTTGTGGCATTAATGCCAGTTTGCATTGCATAACGCAACTACGAGTATTGCTATACCCTGTGGATGGGGATGTTAGCCCAGTACAGCTATTACACCTCCAACATTTTTGTCACATCACATTGCCCCAACTATTTGCTGGCACCCATTTATAATAAATTATTATAAATGGGTGCCTAGAGAGGCACTGTGAAAGTGAAGTGTCTTGTCCATGCAGAGAGAGATTTATGGCAGAAATAAATGTTTGAAAAATATAAAGATACTCACATTTTGCCAATGAAGCTGCTCTTCCCAGTTCAATGGAGCTGTTCGCTTTTCCCTTGCTTCGCATTTCTTTTGCCAAGATCAGACGCCATCTCCCTTTTCTTCTCTGTTCTAACAATGCCATTTTGCCCCACCCGAACCTCCAAGTTATGCCTCAAAAGATTTGGCACACTTTTGCCTTTTTTAACATTAACAGAGTAACACAAAGGCTTTTCGTTCTTTGCATTGCATGCAAATGAATCGATGACACCAACGCTTGTTCCTGCGGTAGGTTAAACCAAACAGTGGGTTTATATTCAGATTCTTTTCCATTATACTTGCCAAACACTGATACAGTGCGTGGAGTATCACTTTTACTAACTTCGCATTTTTCCTCTGTGTTGTTAGACAAAGGACAGCTAGGACATGATTTAGTTTTTCTTCTCTGTATTCGCTCGACTCTTTGTCCATTTGCAGTCGATTTTGTACTTGTAGTGGACGATTTTGACATTTTTTCTTTCCCTACTTTGTTTGATGATCTGAAGTTGTTGATCTTGATGCAGTTGACACAGATATTGAAAAGCATCTTGAGGACGTAGTTGCACTGGATGTCCTGAAATAAATGACAAGGATTTCAATAACAGCAAGAAATAGTGATAATTTATTTCTGAATTTCCCGGGGATGATACAATTTTCTCATAAGAGACAACCACCTGGACAAGCAGGAACATATCACCCTGGAGCCTCCATCTCCCTTATTGGGCCTATGACACGGCGTACACCTTGAGCTATTGTTTAAGCTATTTTTTGTGGCAGACGCGGTGGCCTAATGGTTAGCGCGCTGGACTCCAGATTGAGCGGCCTGGGTTCAAGCCCTGGCCTGGGTCATTGTGTTGTGTTCTTGGGCAAGACACTTTTCTCTCACAGTGCCTCTCTCCACCCAGGAGTATAAATGGGTACTGGCGACAAAATGCTGGGGGGTAACCTGCGATGGACAAGCATCCCATCCAGGGGGTAGCAATACTCCTAGTCGCTTCATGCTACAGAAACCGGAATAAGATCTGGCAGTTGTGGACCACTAGACTCGTGAAGACTTTTTTTTGATCAGTAAGTCCACCAGTAGGTCAATTTGAATTAAATGGTCCCTCTCAACCAGTGTGCTTTGCGGTCGCGTGTTATTGTTTTCATCCGTGGAACTCGGTCTCTTGTGGGGCTAATGTTTGCCATACTTTCAAAATTGTGCTAACTTGGGTCGTCTAACTGCTTTTGTGGCCAGAACAAGGCCACAATCCTGCAAAAAGTAGTTTTAAACTTCAAGCCACCATTTTCGCGGCACCCGAAAATGGCCGCCATAAGAATATCGGCGCGCAAAGCACACTGGTTGAGAGGGACCCTTTAATATCGGCCTATAATCTATTGATTTGTGCAAAAAACTGCACTTCTAGTGTCCGCCTTTATAGCGATGTCACCAGAATTGTGCTATATAAAAGTGTCTGCTGTCCTCCTTGGAGAGGTGTCTGCCTTAAAGAGAGTTTAGTTACAGACAAACAAGGCTGGGGACCAGCCATCCATGTCCTCCTTAGGGGACTCCTTTGGGAGGTGTCCGCCTTACAGGGTGTCCGCTTCTTTTGGATCACTTGAGCGATTGTGTAAACTTGAAATAATTTATAGATAAATACTTGAACTGTGAAATTGAACTCCAATTGAGACTGTATTATTAAGACGCTCAGTCTCGATTGGAGGTCACTGTATATCAACTGACCGTTACCTGACACTTGAGCGATAACTGGGCGCTGTCTTGTAACTGCAGCCTGAGGAAGATTCTTTGTCGATGTCCCGCAAAGATCGCTCAGCTTTCTCTCTAGCAACTTTGAGTTTAGCTTCTATACCAGCGCGAAACCGCCCCTAGAAGTTTATAATAAACAAGGTAAACAAAATGTGCAAGTAAAATAACAGTGCACAATTAGCACAATTACGGAAACGATCAACGAATAAATCAATTAGCAAGCTTTTGCGCCTCGCGAAGAATTATTAAAGCTCAAGCTTACCTTTGAATGTTTGCTGTAGATCCTATCAGAAATCTTATCTAGATCGTTAGAGTACTAACACATCTCGAAGCCATCAGCCCTATGTACAGAACATCGCTACAAGCTTTACAAATAGAATGTACTCGAGCTTGTCAACCAGCACACAGTGCATGACACATATTTCAACCCAGGGAATCATCTCTCAGCCGCGACACTGCGAAAATCTCGCTAAAGATGGCACAAATGAACGAAAAAGTCTTCTACAAATTCTATATGAAATGCAAATAACAAAAAGCTAATTGAAAATACCAGCCGCTGACTTAAAAACGCAAATAAACCAGCGTAGAATTTTGATATTGTTGTTCTTCCACCATGGCGACGGAAATGGTAAAGTGAATGTCTTTATCCAGCGAACCATATTTGGTAAAAGTAGGCGGGAAAACGTGACAATTCAAATATTTGTACTGTGATTGGTTAAAAATGATGTCATGCACTCGCTTTGTTCTCCCGCCACACGGTCGAATTCCTTGCAGAGGAACGAAAAGAACGCGAGGTAGGCCAAGATTTTGGAAGAAGATCTTCCATTCTAAATGGCCGCCCAGAGCCCAACAGATGCAGTTCTTCCACCGTGGAAGAAAGCTGGGAAACAGGGCAAGGAGATGTCCAAATCTGAAGAGGAGAAAAAAACCCACAGCAGCGAAAATAACGGAATCGACCAAGTGAGTTCTGAAGTGTGCACATGCAAAAATCGATGTTCTTCGCTTTTTATTTCAACGATTTCAAATTTCAATCGCTTGCTTTTTTATCAGGCCTTTTTTGGAGGAACAAGCACTTCTGAGAGAAAAACTGAAAAATATGCCAACGTGGAAGAAAGATAAAGATCCAGCAAAGAGAAAAACTCAACCGATGGTAAGAGATCAACTTGCAAGCTACATGCTGTACCATGATTGAAAATATTGATCGGTTGTTGAGTATTGGCCCATAATTTTACTGAAATTTTCCCGCATTTGAACCAAAATAGCATGTTTTTAACTCATTGTATCAATGTGAAATATGTTGTTTCGCAATTCCGGCAATTGACTTTAATGTACGCGGTATAGTATTTCCTTTCCTCAGATATGACACGCTTTCTGTGATGTACTGTTGTTGTTTTGGTTCGTGTGTGCGGACTTTCTAGTAACGCGTGTTCCAAAAATAATGCTTAGATCCATAACAAACGATTTTCGATTGTGAACCCATTGATCTACTGTATTTTCAATTTGCCAATATCGAAATTAGGAAAATACTGGCGCTCTAACAGAAATATATTGTTATTCTTGTGTGAATGTTTATAACATGTATCAAATTTTGTCAAGTGTATCGAATTTAACTTCAGTCTATTTTTATCTTTTAAAAAAATACAAAAATTAAAAATATTTGTCTGAAACTATGATGTTGAAAATGGTAGGTTTTCTATTTTTTAGCAGTATTTTTATTTCAAGAGGAATGTTGTTTATCTTGAACAGCCGTTTGTTCAAAGGAAACCAGTTAATTATTCATGAGAGTGGTCACATGGGATCTGTATGTGATTTGGTCACAAATATTATTGGTATTTTAACAAAATGATAACATTTGCTCCGATCAATATTTGACATGTTGAAAACTTTATCATGTGCCTACCTTATAAATTTCTCACTTTAATATTTCCGCGAGTACATTCTATTAATTTTCGCGATGTAGAAACAAGTGTGATTCAAATGAAGGTGATATTTTCACAACATTTAAACCTAAAGTTGCAATTTGAGCCCTTTGATATTTTTCTGAAATCGTGAAGCCTTGCGAAATAAGGGTCTGTCTATTTCGCGAAATTAAGTATGCGCGATAATTAGTGAGAATACATTATAAACAATTCCTAATTTCTTGTTCATCTATAACCCCAATTTTTGAATACCTCTTTACTTAAATACACATTTTGATTTTGCAAGCTATCAAATAAAGTGTGTGGTTGTTATGTGGCAAAAAGTCATTATGATTTGAGGTGATAATTATGTGTGGAAGAACAGCTTTAAATTTGTTTTGCTGATTTGCAGAAATTAGTGCTGGTTGTTGCCAATACTGTATACATGATCATTAATTAACAGCAACACTAATTTTCTCACCCACAATTATGTTCATAATAAATTAAAATGCAAAATAATAAGTGCTCAAAACCTTTTGCCTGCTTTCAGTTCAATACATGATGTATTTTACAGTAGCCTACGTGGCAGGCGTAGAAAGGAGAGAGAGAGAAGGGGAGTACAGGCGCAAAGCATGAGGAGAGAGAGCAAGAAGTGCGAGGAGGAGAGTGCATAGCACGTCAAGGAGAGAGTGCAAGAAGAGAGTGACTGTGATCGAGGGAATGCACAAGCTTGCGCCCAAACTGCCCTTCTTCCTTTCTACGCCTGCAATGCAAGCTAATTTTACAGCAGCTCTAAAAATTATACATGTACTTTTCTAATCACTTGAAGTGCGTATTTGATTCATTATTAAATGCAATATATGTGCCAGTTTCTTATAACTGAAGATTATACCTCAAAGATTCATACATAAACTTGTTTTGATGTTTTAAAACCCTAGGTAGCCAGGCCTCCTTCGCCTGGAACATCTGCTAGTACTAGTGCCAGGTCCCAAGCAGCTCAGTTTGGAGCAATGGTCAGTACACAACTGCAGTTATAATTTGTATTTTTTTAAATATCCTATTAATATAAAAACAGGTGAAAATATCAACAATTATTCATTAATAAACCAAGGTATTGTTATTTCTATTTGAAGAACTTTGTACAATGTTTTGTGAGGATACTGTATGTTAGTAAGGAAATAACAAAAAGGATGGCCGGAGGGGGGGGGGGGGGGGGGGGGGGGGTGTCTATAAGTTAGTGGGTGAGTGAGTGGGGGGGGGGGGGGGCTTAAAAATAAGCACTGGGATGTTAAGGTATAAACAATTAACATTCTTAAAATGTCCTTCTTACAGCCAGTGAAAGTACCATCTCCTCCAATGCGTCGACGCACCCCTGGTAACTCACCTTCCAATTCTGTGTCATTCTCATTTCCACGGAGCTCATCTCCTGTACATGTATATGAAGTGTCCAATGACTTCAAGCGCAAAGTAGAGAAAGCCATGCGAGCAAGACTCTACCTGTTGCAGCAGACAGGACCAAACTCTTTCCTCATTGGTGGAGACTCGCCGGATCATAAATTCCGTGTTATGATTGGACCACAGGTAAACAAATGCAAAACTATATAAGAAACACAATGATGGACATACAGTACTGTAGTGTATAGTGTGATCTATTTAATAACCCTTTCACTCCCAAGAGTGCCAAGGTAAAAACTGAGGGGGAAATATTGATTTTAATTTTGAAAATTGTCAAAAACAAACAGTACATGTACAGCACCACTTGAAAGTACTGCTCAATAGTTTTTTATTTGAATGGTCACACACTAGGGTTTCATCCACAGACTTAAAAGTTAGAACCACATTTATTGACTCAAGGTTTGACTCTGCAAGCCTAGCTACATGTATCAGGCATATATTATATAAATTATCCAAATAACATTTCAATACATTAAATTTGAACCTCCCATTGACACCCTTGGGACCAGAAAAAAGTGTCTGCTTAGGAGAGTTTGTCCACTTATGGAGGTTAAAAATGCAGTGTTTGTATGTGCCTGGGATGGTCACCATGACTTAGTGTCCGCCTATGGGAGGTGTGCGGCTACGAGAGATGTCTGTTAGCGGAGATTCCACTGTATTATAAGAGTGACCTTACATGTAGTTACAGAATCTTACTGGGACATCATAAATCAGCAATTTGCATTTCTTTGTTAAAACTAGCATGTACA